TCTTCTCCTAGACAATGGTCATAGGTATAAACAGCACTTCTTTTGCTAGACAAGCTCTTATAAACTTTTTTGTCTCAGCTTTTCTATAGTAGCCATGTTGCAGTGTAAGTTCCCTTTTCTGGAATGTCAGTCGGCCGAATGGGTTTGAACACTTCAGTTAGCCGTTATTCTTTCTTGCACACTATAGTGAGACAGCACATCTGATGTTTCAGTGCCTACTCTAAAGACAAACTAGCGATACTAACATCCTTCTGAAGCCTTCTCTGAAATGCATGGAAGTAAAGGAAATCTGGATTTTTATAGTAGCAGAACATAGTCTGACATGGTGGGCTTGCATGTGAAGCCTGTCTAATAAAGCAGATGTAGTATGAAGTTACACTTAAAACTACCGTTTTGTTTTCCTTTTCTACTTTGTCTTATGAATCTTGTTCAAAATTGAGTTTGAAACCTCTCTTATTTGACTTGGCTGAATGTAGCAGATAATTGCCCAAAGCTTCATGAGGAAGACGAGCAATGTGTAAAAGCCTTGCTTGTCTGGTAAACCTTGTGAGAACAGAAGCAGTTAATCCTGACTCCTGTTAATGTTTAGGTGAGTATTAAGGTGATCCCTCTCCTAAAGATGAGACCTGGAGGAATATGCTTTCTAAACCCTTTCATAAAGGGGGCATGGAGAAGATGATCTTGACAGCAGTAGGCTACAGGAAAGGAGTGAACGAAATGGATCCTGCTGGTATTGCTTTTTTAGATTCTAGGCTGGACTCTGTATAGCTTGTCCTATGGGATTTATTTCTTCCCTTTCAGTGAAATGCTCATCAAAGATGTTGGTAGAATGCATATGCAAACTCCATACTTGACTGTGACTGCAGGGTCCTATTCAGTGTGGCTTTTCACAGTCAGGCAATACGGTCTTGCCTGAAAAAAAATAGTGAATGCAAAACCTAAACATCGGAAGGGGGCAGGGCCTCTGACAAGCTTTTAGAAGTAACAAGGTGATGTAAAATGAACTGGTTCTTTAAAAGAAAAGTCTTGGTAAGAGAAACTTTTTACCTGGAGACTGTTTTTATGTACTTTAGTATATGATAAAGGATTTTTTTCTTATATCATGTTCTATGTTGTCTTTGGTTAGGTAAGTACCTGATTAATTTTCTGTCTGATTTTTCTTTAAGGTACTTTCCCCATTGATCTGACCAAAACACGTCTGCAGGTTCAAGGTCAAGTTAACGATGCCAAATATAAGGAGATCCGCTACCGTGGAATGGTGCATGCACTAATCAGGATATGCAAAGAAGAGGGATTGAAAGCCTTATACTCTGGGTAACTGACTCACAGTAATGGTTTTAAAAACAGTATATTGGTAAGCGTAAGCCCATAGTGTGTGAATTCTTGGGTTTCAGATTTACAAGGTATTTTGGTTAGTCTCAGTTAATCTGGAAGTTGGAAGCCCAACCTTAGGTTGCTTCAGGCTTTGTGCTCTGCAGTAGCATTTCATGCTTAAAAACCTGAAACAAACCTGCTTGGAAAAAAACCCATAGAAGAGCTAAGCCTAAAGTTGTTATATACAATGCTGCTATGGTTGTTCCATCTGTGTTAGAAGAAAAATTGAACTAACCTTTGTGTATAAGCGGGCATGCTTTTCTTCAGAACATATACAAGATGGGGGGGGGGGAAATGTAATCTGAAAATTACATTTCAGACCAGTGTGCCAGCTAATTTTATAGGTCAGAAGTTGAGGCACGCTTTAGTAGTAATCCTTTCACAGTTCATTCATGTTCTTGCACGCTTTAATTAAAACAACAACAAACCTAAACCCACTGAACATGAAAACAACAAAACTTTGTTTTGTCTATAATGACTTTAAATTGTTGATTTAAATGAGCAAACCTTTCTCTGGTGGATACCTTGTGTTCTGTCTCTCCTGCTTTAAAAAGTATTTGCTAACCAGTCTTTTGCAATTTTGAGCATAAATATTATCCCTGCCTATTTTTACAGGATTGCACCTGCCATGCTACGCCAAGCTTCATATGGAACTATAAAAATAGGCACTTACCAGAGCTTAAAAAGAATGTTTGTTGAGCATCCAGAAGGTGAGTGGGTTTTTTCAGTTTAACTGGGGACTGTTTTGCTTGAAACTGGTTGTTTCCATTTGGTATCACTGTAGCAGTTTGAACAGATCTATGGCAAAGCCATTCCTTGTACCACGTACAACAAAGTGACTCAGCAAGGAAAACTTGTCAGAGCAGTTTTTAAGGCTTCTGTAACTGCTACTCTCTCTGGTTGAAGGAGAGGTGGCATCATCCTGCCCTCATGCATCTTAAGCTTTGTAAATTTGCAGCTAAACTCTTTTTTTGTTTGTTTGTTTATGGAATAGATGAAACCCTGATGATAAATGTTCTATGTGGCATTCTTTCGGGTGTAATTTCGTCATCTATTGCCAACCCTACAGATGTCTTAAAGGTAATTATGTAGTATGTAGAGTTTGTCCTTAGTTTTTGTCCTCTGCTTGCGGAAGTACAGAATCTCCTGATGAATACAGGATTTCTTGTTTTGTAATGCTATTTATTCTCATAACTTAAAAAAAAACCCCACAAACCAGTAACATCCTGAATTCTTGAAACCTCCTTCTGCTCCGTACTTATTATTTGGAAGTACATGATGGCTGGGGAGGTAGTTGGGTTCATGTAACCTTTTCTGGGGCTGGGGAGAGAATAATTTAAGATGACTCTTTTTGCAGCAGTGTGGAAGCCACAGTGCGTATTTCATCTATACTTCTCGGTGACATAGCTATACTAGGATCCTTCTAGAGCTCATAATAGGTGAAGATCTATTGAGATGCAAGAGTTTAGCGAGTGCTACTTGTACTGTAGGACTCTCTAATCCTGTAGAGAGGCTTTGCAATCCAGTGTCCCATGAAAATAGTGTTCCAGCGTCAGTTGGTTTAAGTGAATTGGTGAAGCCATCACCTCTTTGACTATCATTAGGCTAACAGATTGTTAATGACCTCTTTTCTACTTACTTTAAAGGATTGATGGTATTTAACTTGGAAAACAGTAGCATGTGACTTACATGACTGCCTCTATTGAAAAGTTCAAGAAAACTCTTAGTGTTCTTCTAAAACTACTAAAAACTTACTTTTTCACAAGGCTAATGTGGTTATCTAGAGGTAATTCAAACATAAGCTTCTGTTTCAAGAGTGGCTTCAATTAGTTATTTCCCAAAATTATGTCGGTGTACCAACTTGCTTGTATTTGGTAGTTACCATGGCAGGTTCCTAAGGACATTCTTAGAAATCCATGGTTCTCACTAGCTGAAACCTTAATCTTTTTAACCTTTCTTTTTAACATGTTCCTGTAAAGGAACACTGTAAAGGACATCCTGCCGAAACCGTCTGGCAGTCTGATCTAAATGGTATAGTGTACAAGTATGGAAATAGAAGTGACTTAATGGAGTTAAGAACTCTACCACACTTTTTCAAAATTAGCAGCTGCATTTGAATAGTTAAGGCACTACAAAAGATTGCATCATGGGTATGATAATGTTGGCTATTAATTTGTATTCAAAGAGAAACTGACTTTGCTACTTAAGATTGTAACATAAAATGTTAACAGAACTGTATTAAAGTTATGGGTTGTATGTTTGAAAAGTATTTATTTTCTAACTTTATCTTCAAATGAATCTCAGATCAGAATGCAAGCCCAAGGTAGTGTGATTCAAGGAGGAATGATGGGCAACTTCATACAGATCTACCAAAAGGAAGGCACTAAGGGATTATGGAAGGCAAGTTTTCTGAATTACATCCTATGCTCAAAGTGCGCTCTTGCTCAACCATTTTTCATGTATTTCTACAGTATTCTCGGCCAAAATATGGAAAGATTGGTAGCTAATATGCATGTAGTTTGTCATGACTGCTTCTCTGCTGGTGTCTTGGTATGTTTTGACAAAAGGTTACTGCCAGTCTTGAGTACAAGGATTAGCCACTTCTTCAAAAAGGGGAGACAAATGGAGGCTTAAATTTTTGAGTGACTGGCTCTAGGACTAATTCAACAACCCTTTGCAGGATACCTCTCAGTCTGTGTGCTCCGTCCTTTCTAAAACAAAGACTAAAGAACATCTGGAAGTAAAGGTACTAATGAACATCCCCTCTAGCTCAGGATTTCTTGTACTTGGTTGTGTAGGTTGTCCTCTATGCCAGTTGCAGTCAGTGACTGTATAACAACTGAAGACCAAGAATGGACAGTTGCTCTGAAACAGCTGGAAAAGAGAAATGTGTGGGGTTTTTTTTAAGTGTGCTGTTCTCTGCAAAGCTTCTTGATCTCCATTTTTCTGTTCATCCTGCTAACCAAAAAACTGGAAGTAAGGAGGAAGTATCACCTAGTTAAGGTCTTGGCTGGCTAAGGCTGTGAGAATGCATGTATTAAGCAGCAATGGAGTAGCATAAAGGAACTGAAATTGCTGTTCAGTGTGGAAGAGTGATTATCTGTTTACTTTAACTTGCATTTTTGGAGCACACAGAATTTTTCTGGTTGGAAAAGACCTTGAAGACTGAGTTGTAACTGTCAACATAGCACTGCCATATGTCTAAGCATTGTACTAATTGGCCTCATCTGAATACACAGTTTTCTTAACACATTCATGGTGTGTTGCTTTGTATTCTAAAAGCTAGGCTTTTCTGATGGTGCACAAAGATTAATTTTAAACTTCAGCTATAGCCTTTCTTTTACCAGGGAGTATCACTGACAGCACAGAGAGCTGCTATTGTTGTTGGAGTGGAACTGCCAGTGTATGACCTTACCAAGAAGCACATAATTATGTCTGGATTTATGGGAGATACAGTATATACTCACTTCCTGTAAGTTGGTATAACTGTTTGCATAGCTCATCGCTGGGGGACCAGTTCTCATTAAGGGGAGTGAATCTTACGTGGTGTCTTTTGTTTTCATGCAACGTAAATATACTTCTGATGCGCTTATACTTCTTAATGCAATAGCATCTCAAACGGTAGCATGTGGGGTGGAAGTGAGTTCTATTTAGGATTTGGATTTAATTTTCTTTTGAATATGGAATCTTGGTTGTGGATGATCTGAATCATTCAGCTTTGTAAATTGAGATTAGAGGAAAGTTCTTTTAGTCAAATATTTGCTGTTCTCGCAGGCACAAACATCTGTTCAAGTGTACAGAAAGTGGATATAAAGGGCTGTATAGTAAATGAAAAGTAACTTTCCATATCTATTCCCTGATATAACCTTTAACTAAAAGCATTAAGTATGTATTACTGCATGTTTTTTGGCAGGGGAGGGAGGGGCAGTTCTTGTGCATTTTAAAATGTGGTATGTCAGACTTAGAACCATAGAATGGCTTGGGTTGGAAGGGACCTGAAAGACCATCTAGTTCCAACCCCCCTGCCATGGGCAGGGACACCTTCCACTAGACCAGGAAACTTCATCAAACCTTTCTCTTACTAGCTCAAGTTTTACTTGTGGGTTAGCTGGAGCCCTTGCATCCAACCCGATTGATGTTGTCAGAACACGCATGATGAATCAGAGAAGCCAACAACATGGGGCACACTCAAACTACAAGGGTACCCTGGATTGCTTGTTACAAGTAAGTAGCTTATTAATATTAGTAGAAACTAGTGCCACCAAACAATATTTTTGGTGTAGAACTTGAAATTGCTTGAAGTTTCCATAGAAATTAATACAAGTAATTAAGGCAAAAGCATGTACCAATAATGCACTTGGTCTGAAAAGTATCTGTTGTCTTAACAGAAGGGCAGGAAGAAAGTTAGTATGTACTTCTGGTACTTACTTCCTTTTTGTGCTTGGGTGAGGAGACTATCTCTCAGCAGCACTGTCTCTTTATATGATGTTAGGATATTGATAGGAAATGGTAATTTCATAGGTCAGTTCTTGAACAACCTTCTGTGGCAGATGGCTTTCTCTTGCCTATGGCATAATGCAAAGCCTAGTACAGCCAAAGCCAATGTCACCCTCTGATTTTGATTATTTTGGCTTGGTTTCTTAAATACCTCAGTTGGGTATGAGGTGGGAGTGTTACAGCTTTTTACATGGAGAAGAGCAGATAGGAAGCTAGTGGTGTCCAAACTGTTGACTGAACAGTCCAGTTTGTATTGGTCTGTCACACTCAGTGCAGTTTTGTGAAGCCCAAAAAGCAAACTGAAAAATGTCAAGGGGGTGCCTAATGTGAGCTGCAGGTTTACATGCAGTGCTCTGCAAGGTGTTTTGGAGGGGGGTGCAAAAAATAGTCCAGGAATGAAATTTCGATGAATCAGTGTTGGGTACTGAATGACAGATGGTGTCTTTAACCTGCCAGATAGGCAGGTTAATACCTGTAGGTATTGCTAATCTTGGCTTTATCTAGTGAAATGTTGCCTTGTCCCATTATTAAAATGTTTAAATCAAGGTTACAGCACTAAGCCATTGCCTTGTCTGGTATAGAATCTTGTTGGCTGACATGATTCCTTACTAATAAAGAGTTATGTAAGTGCGTTCTTGCCGTGTTTTTTTTTCCAGACATGGAAGAATGAAGGTTTTTTTGCCCTATATAAAGGGTTTTGGCCAAACTGGTTAAGACTTGGTCCTTGGAATATCATTGTATCCTTTTCAAAAATGTGTGAAACTACTAATCTACTCATCAATACTTGCTGTTGGATGGTTTCACAGAAATGCTGTGTGGAAAGTGTCATGTCAGCACAAATATTCCCTTTTTATGAATGGAAAACTGTCATTGACCATTTTCTTAGTCAAGTGCTGTGGTCAGATTGAATTTGGGATTCACGCAGGGTAAATATTAGAATGTGATCTTGCAAAACATTTTTCTGTTCCTCCAATTTCATACCTGTTTATTCTCTTAGCTGGGAGCCTGGTTTTAAATGAATTTGACCAGATGAGTTAGGAATGGGGTCTGTTTCCAGAACCAGGGAAACTGTTGGCAGTTAGCCTTGGAATCTTTGTTTATCTTGCGCTCACACAATTTTATTTCAAAGGCAGCTGAAGTGGGTCGGTAATAATGGTGCTTTACCATGAGTAAACCTACTTCAAGTAGGCTCACCAAAGTGAAGTGAGTAAAGACTCTAAGGGCTTGTGCAGTATTCTTCTGCCTCCTCGATCCTGTGTTTAAGATCCTGAGGGATAGGGATGAGAAAGTAATTGGCATCACCAGCCTTAAAGCAGTTTTCATTGTTCTGCCCAGTACTGTGTGGTGAAACTGGCCAACCAGCAGCACTGCTTAGGTGGGAAAGAGGGGAACAAGGTTTCACATGGATGCGGCCGTCCTTTAGTAGTAACGTGACCACTTTGCACTGCGTGAGCCGGCAACTGTTTTCCTTAACAAGCTGTTTCAGTTCTTTGTGACATATGAACAGCTGAAGAAACTGGACTTCTGACATATTGATCTGCATACTGAATTCTGTTAATGTACTGTTGGAGCGTAGAGCAACTTGCAAGTTGTCTTGAGTGTTTGCTCTTTATTGCTGGCCAAAGGAAGAGGTCACTACAAGACTTGTGGATGAGAACATCCTGGAAGTGATTTTGGAGGCGAACTGCCTCCTGTAACGATGGCTTCCCCACGTGATTCAGTGGATGATGTGCACTGTTTTCTAGACTGAACTGAACATGATGGAAAACCTTCTGTTAATTAAGTGTTCTTGGATGTGAAGAACTGCAGTGCAACTTTATGCTGCTGACTGAGATGTGCAGTCTTTTTTTTTATAAGAGGCAAAGAACAATTTTTCTGTGAAGGAAGATGGGTAGTACCAAGGCGCTGGGCTCCTCCTGTTTTCAGAAGTGTATACAATTTAGCTGTCATGGCTTACAGCTTCTAATTAACCGGAAGTGTCGCAAGATGTCTTTGCAGGCTGTCGGTTCAGCGAGATACCCGCTGCAGTACAAAATCTGCTTCTGATTTTAGAGCATTCCTGTGTTCCTTAAATGTCTGCATAATTTGCTGGGAATAATCCAGCTTCATTTGAAAGTGTGGCTGCTACAGCTGTCAGTTTTGCATAGCTCGAGGAAAATTGTTTTTGTTGGTTTTCCAATCTATAATTCTTGACTTTCAGCAGAAGTGATTCTTTGGCATACTCATATGTAAATTGCAAGGTGGAATGAAGTTCAAACAAGTCCAAGCTCGCCTGCCTATCCTGCAGAGAAACTCTTCCACGCTTCTGTTGTTGGGAAGAACTACTTGTGATGGTTACTGGCTGTTACCTGTCATCTGAAAGGTGCAAGTTTTATGCTGAGCAGTTCAGGCTGTGTCACGTGAAAAGAATGAAACCCCTTTAGAGTAAGTCTAGACTGCTCTCTTCAGCAACACACCCAAACCCAGAGCTGCTGAGTACTTCTGTATAGCAAACACTTTTGTACAGAAATCATCCACAACTTCCTTAAAGCACTGCCTTTTGGCTTAAATGTATATGAAAACTTCAGGGCCCCTTAACTCCACAGTTATGTCAAGGATCTTAGAAATGTTGGCTGTTGTGTGAGATGCCAGCCCTACGGCGGCGCTGTGTTCACCGAGGGTAGCAAAGCAGGGTGCGTGGCGTTGCATTGTTGCGGCGCTGTGCTCATCTCTCAAACGTTTTCTGGTTATTCCATGCATTCCACTTGAAGAAATTTTCACTGCGATTTCAAAATCACTCTAACCACTTCATTGCTAATTTTGAATTCCCGAATAGATTTTTAAATGCACAAGGCACTTTCTTTCTGATGGTAGGATGTTTTTTTCAGTTGTGTGGTTATGCTTATGTGCAGTGTTTCTCCTTACAGCTCTTTCTATGCTTTAATAGACATATTTGTAAATATTTTTGTACACCATGTAGGCTAAGTGTATGTCTTACATTTTTAAGCTTATTAAAAGTTTTTAAATCATTATGGAATGACTCAGAACTTTCAGTTTCAAAGGTGGAGGGGAGAGGTGGGATTTAAAGTACTTGAAGGTGATTAACAAAGGAAAGCTCTTGCTGGCACTGAACTGTATGAGGTTATTGCTTATTTACCCATGACAGGCTAACCTTGCTGTGGTTAAAATCTTATGTTCCTGTAACTTCCTGGCTGAATAACATCCATTAACCCTATGTTTTCACTGTTCTTTGTCATACCTTAAACTGCAAGGCTGTTTCCCACTCTGATGTGTTCCTGACCAAGCAGTTTTCATAATCATCTCTCTTTTTTTTTTTTTGTTTACCTGGGCAATAGGTTTGATACCTGTAACTGGGGTGAATTTCCTGAGTTCATGGCCTGTAACTTCCTGGCTGAATAACATCCATTAACCCTATGTTTTCACTGTTCTTTGTCATACCTTAAACTGCAAGGCTGTTTCCCACTCTGATGTGTTCCTGACCAAGCAGTTTTCATAATCATCTCTCTTTTTTTTTTTTTGTTTACCTGGGCAATAGGTTTGATACCTGTAACTGGGGTGGATTTCCTGAGTTCATGTGTGGCAGCACTGGTCTGAGGGATGCAGGGGATGAGGAGTAGTGCGTTAGGAACACGCTGCACCAGTTACTCTGGGGAAGCTGGAGAGGGGCAGGTGGACTGAGATGAACCGCTGGGCACCACAGGCATTGAAACAGTGGGAGTTCAGGATCTCTGCTGAAGGCAACTGCTGCAGCGGATGCCTCAAGCTGTTTCCAGGCTCTCAACTCAGACATGCCTTAGCTAGGATTTAGGTGAGAGTGGCATAATAGGAGACTTAAGGTTATGAAAATGTAACAGCAACCCAAAGGTAATGAGGGGTATTTCCAAAGTGAAGAAGGAATTCTTGAGGAAGGCTGGTGGTGATGGAAAGATGTGCACCCTGTCAAAATGGGGGTCAGGTCTCCCTCACCTGCCTCTGCACTGTGTGAGTGCTGTCCTGACCCTTGAGGGGCTGCTGCAGTGCTAACCTTTAGGGAAAGGGCTGATGCTCCCTGCCCTGCTG